CCCAGCTTGCTGATGTAGAGGATATGGCCAATTCTCTGCTTGCTGAGCGCCACCAGCCCTACGTTGGCAAGAACTAGGCTGCCAACTTTGTTAAACGTCAGCTAGAGCTTAAAGTTAAATTTAATTGTAAGTATAACTATAAGAGAGCTCTTTATAAGGATCCTAAGGTAGTTAGGGACTAGTTCTAACTAGTAGAGAATACTAAAGCTAAGTATAGTACACAAGATAAAGACACCTACAACTTTAATAAATCTAGCTTTATAATAGGCGTTATATTAATAGGAGCTGTTGTTACAGGCTATGAGCGTTAAGGGAGACCAAAGGCAGTGCAGTAGGGCAACCAAGAGTGGACTAGTATCATCTAAGGCATCTGCGCGAAGGGCTGGTCTATCCCACCCTTTATTATCTTCTCTAGCAAGCACTACCTCTCTGCCTAGTACAAGGAGCCTAGTATACCTAACAACTAGGTTCTTAATGTCTCTAACAACAACTAGACTAATAACAAGCTTAGAGTTAAGTAGTTAAAGCACTTTAATAAGCACACAAAGGCGCGCACTGTTAGCAGCTATTAGCTGCTTATTCTAGACAGCCACAAGAGCCACAACTTAGTCAAATTCCACCAGTACTGCAAGGAACACAAGATTATTACCCTGTGTATGCCTCCACACTTGTCGCACCTACTACAGCCACTTGACGTAGGCTGTTTTTCTCTGTTGAAGAAGGCCTATGGCCGCCAAGCTGAGCGGCTAATGCGCAGCAAGATTACGCGTATTACTAAACTTGAGTTCTTGCCGTGCTTCAAAGCAGCTTTTAACGCCTCAATCACAGAGGGTAACATCCAGGGAGGATTTAGAGGTGCTGGCCTAGTCCCACTTGTCCTAGAGGCTGTGCTATCGAAGCTTGAAGTACGGCTGCGCACGCCAACGCCACCTACTGTGGACAACAGTACGTGGGAGTCTAAAACACCAAGCAACACCCTGACAGTTATTACAATTCGCTGAAACCCTTAACGTAGATTATCACCGAGCCGGCCATATCACCGAACTAGCCACTTTCTCTTGGCACGACCACCTTTTACCCTAACACAACATGCCTTAACAACAACAACTTCAGAATACTACTAGAGAAGGCAGAGTTATCCTTGCTATCTAGGCCTTCTATGCTAGCTAATTTTGCAGTATCTACAGCGCTGCTAGAGCATTAAACGTACCTTATTAGTAGGTCTCTAATTGCCTTTACAATATTATGTTTTAACTAGACGTACGCGCTAATTGCTAGAAACTTACTATACTAGAGGGGCAGACAATTGTCTAGTATATACTTTACCTTGATTCGTGAGGATTTGCGCCCTAGCTATGTAAGGTGGCAGATATAGCTAATAAGATACTTAGTGTGCGTAGTGAAGAGCCTGTTAGTAAACTATTGGCTAGCAGGCTTGTGACGCGTTTAGACAAGCTTAAAATAGCCTTTAATTAAGCTAAGGATAGACAGAGGATACTACAGGAAGATCCTAAGATAATTAGCGCGTGGTTTAAGCTAGTAGAGGATACTTAAGTTAAGTATAGCGTTTGCAACAACAACGTGCACAACTTTAATAAAACTAGGTTCTAGATAGGCGTTGCTTTGTCTTTAAAGGTTGTAACAGGCTTAGAGAGACGTGCTCAGCCAGAGCTTGTTCAGCCAGGTGATCGCGAGTGGGTTACCGTTATTAACCCTAATTGTAAGTAGGTTACCCTAGTACAAGGCATTAGGTTAACAGGGAAGGTTATCCTACCATTCCTTATCCTTATAGTGCACTGCTTGCGGAACATGTTCTATACAAAACCTACCAAAAATTATACACTCTATTGCGCCGCAACTTTTGTTTCTGCATTTCTTAGCTTGCATTGCTG